GGACGGTTGAACTCGGCGGCACTACCTTCGGCAAGAGGCAACGCAGTCGTCGGGGAAAGCAACCCGATAAGTATACTGCACTTTTACTGAACAATGGCGCGACTAGGCAAGCTAGACGAGTTCGACGAGAAGGATCAGAATTTTAAATCCTATCTGGAGCGTTTGAGCACTTCGTCACCGCAAATGACATCAGAGAGGAAAAGAAGCTGGCAGTATTCTTGAGTGTGATAGGACCACGAACGTACGAGGTGCTCAAAAGTTTGGTAGTACCCGCTGTTCCTGGGGACAAGTCCTTTGAAGAGGTCACAGTGCTGTTGAAGAAACACTATAGCCCACAGTGCTCGGTCATTGCCGAACGTTGCAAATTTAACAAGCGAGCACAAGAAGAGCAGGAAAGCGTCGAGGACTTCATAGTGGCCTTAAAACAGTTAGCAAGGAAGTGCGATTTCGGTCAGTTTCTGCAAGACGCGCTGCGAGACAGAATAGTGGCAGGCATAAGACGCGAGGAAACGCAACTCGCCCTATTTGCTGAAGAAGATTTAACCTTCGAAAAGGCGTGCAAGATAGCCCAGGACCGAGAGCAGGCTGCGCGACAGACAGCGTTACTTCATGCAGAAGGCAAGGAAGCGGCTTTTTATGCAATGGCGATAAGAGGAAAAGGAAGCGAAAAGAAATCGAAGCTTCGGAAGCTCAAGGAAGCCAAGCGAGTTTGCGAAAGATGTGGCAAGGCGCATGCGGCTAGTGTTTGCTGGTATAAGAACGTCCAGTGTCACAGCTGTTCTCAAATCGGTCATCTACAGAAGATGTGTCCAAGTAATCGCAGAGAACTCAAGACTGCAAACGTGGTGGACTGCTCTGATAGTGACTCTGAATTAGATGTGTACCATGTTATCAATACCGTGCGTTCTGGGTATGAAGTGCAGCTAAACGTAGAAGGGCAAGACCTCTGCATGCAGATTGATACGGGAGCAGCTGTAACACTAATTCCTGAGAGTGTGAGGCTGAACGCATTTCCTCATGTCAAGTGCGAGCCATCTCGAGTCACCCTAAAAACATACTACGTACTCACCAGTACCTCTGGCGGACCATACGCGGCAAACATACTACGTAGCTTCTCAAGGGTTTTGTTAGCAGTAGTGGATGACATAGGCGAGACCTCGATCCATTTAGAGAACGCGTCGACGAGAACCAAGACGACATAGACGACGTCATTGTTACATAGACGACGTCATTGTGTCGGGAAAAGACTTAGCCGACTGTCAAAAAACGTTGGAACTAGTCCTGCAGCGGCTGAGTGACTACAACGTGACACTGAAAGAGGAAAAGTGTCGGTTTTTGCAGAGCACTGTGACTTATCTCGGTCACACTGTGCGCGCTGAAGGTATATATCCTACAGAAGAAAAGATAAAGGCGATCACAGAAGCGCCAGAGCCCACTTGCCAAACAGAGCTAAAGGCTTATCTCGGCATGTTAACCTTTTATGCAAAGTTCTTAAGTAACCTTGCCTGCGTGGCAGAGCCATTGTACCGTCTGTTGCGCAAGGGCGAAAGGTGGTCGTGGACACGGGAGTGTAGCGAAGCATTTGCTTCTACGAAACTGTTACTTGTCAAGAGTAATGTGCTCACTTTTTACGATGTGGCGAAACCAATGGCTATGACATGTGACGCTTCGTCGTATGGATTGGGGGCTGTCATTTTTCATGAGACCGCAGATGGACACGAAAGGCCAGTGGCATTTGCTTCTAGAACACTTACAGCCGCAGAGAAAAACTATGCTCAGTGCGAACGCGAAGCATTAGCACTGATGTTTGGGTTAAGAAAATTCCACCGCTACTTGTATGGACGAGAGTTCACTCTTTATACAGATCATCAGCCATTGCTCGGAATATTAGGCCACGACAAGCCGGTGCCTGCGCTTGCTGCAGCTCGAATGCAAAGATGGGCAATTACCCTGGCAGCGTACCAGTATAAACTAAAATACCGAAAGGGAAGAAATGTTGAAGTGGCTGACGCTCTGTCTCGGCTTCCACGGCCTATTGTAGCGGCCGATGAACCTTCCGAGTGTCTCTTGCTATTTGACAGCATGCCCCTCAAAGCGGATGACGTAGCGCGAGCCACACGACGTGATCCCACCTTGTCTCGCGTGACGCACTTCATCTTAAATGGATGGCCTTCAGAGTGCTCTGAAGCATTTAGACCATTTTATTCCCGGCGCGACGAGCTATCAGTAGAGCAAGAATGCATAACGTGGGGATAGAGGGTGATCATACCTGATAAGCTCCAGCTACAGGTCTTGCAGCTATTGCATGAGGACCACCCGGGATCTAGTCGCATGAAAGCGTTAGCAAGAAGCTTTGTGTGGTGGCCTGGCCTCGACCTTTCGGTTGAGAGCTACGTTCGACAATGTCAGGTTTGTCAGGCCGTCCAAAAAGCTGCTTCACCGGTTCCATTGCAACCATGGAATTATCCCACAAGGCCCTGGCAACGCGTGCACGTCGATTATGCGGTAAAGGGCTCTCAGGCGTTCTTGGTTCTCGTCGACGCGTTCTCTAAATGGATCGAGGTCTCGCCTATGTCATCCACTACTGCTAACAAAACCATTGAGAAGCTACGTAGTATGTTTGCCGCGTATGGTCTGCCAGAGGTACTGGTGAGTGATAATGGACCGCAGTTCATTTCCGAAGAGTTCGCGGCCTTCTTGAGTGTAAACGGTGTAAGGCATGTCAAGACACCTCCTTATCACGCGGCTTCTAACGGAGCGGCCGAGCGTTTAGTGCAGACTACCAAACAAGCACTGTCAAAGCATGTCTTGCAGGACAAAGCTAGCCACCACAAACATTCATTTCGGGAACGCTTGGACAGCTATCTAATGAGTTACAGGACTACTCCGCACAGTACCACTCGCCAGACCCCGGCAGAATTATTCTTGAAAAGACAGCCACGGGTAAAGCTGTCATTGCTAAAACCAGATTTCGAGCTCTCCATGCGGGAGCAGCAGCAACGTACCAAAGTGCAAAAGGACATGTCTAGGGGGGTTCCGCGATGTTTTGCTGTGGGGGACGCTGTGTGGGTGAAGACTGTGCGAGGTGAAACAGTGTCGTGGGAAGATGGTGTCGTGACACAGGTTATCAGTCCCGTAACCTATCTGGTGAAAGTGTCGCAGGCGGTGCGATTTACGCATTCGGACCACATCAGAGCCCGCCACGGAAGCCAGGATTCTTCAAGTTATCCGCAGGCACAACCTGCTCCAACGGCATCCGTAGACACGACTCCACCGACGGTTCCGATGGCGTGTGGGCCAGTCGCCGGGTCGCCTCTCGTAACTCCACACGCAACCGACTCTGCGACGTCTCTCCTTCCGGCAACTGCATCGCCCACGGCCGGAGCAGCTGCCTCCGGCTCGCCGGACCAGCCCAGTGCAGACGACGCGCCACCTGCAGCCGAACTTCCAACTCTGCGTCGTAGTGCACGTGTACGACATGCCCCGAACAGATACCAGTCCAGTGACTTTCGGAAGTAATCTGAAGGGGAAGGAGTGTTGTAGCGTGACGTCACTTATCACTGCGCACCCGGTGCGCGCATTCCTGTGCGACCGATCACGTGGTTCTGCGCCTATATATGGTGCGTCTTCTAATAAACTTATCAGTTGCTTCTTGGTATGCTGTCTGCTGCTCACGTTATTACAGAGGAAACTGCCGAACCCTTGATAATGTTCTGTAAAGGGCTTCACTGTCTGCGCCATCATTCAGAATGATGGCGCACAGGTTTTCAAAGCACTGGTGTTAAGAGACAAGGAGGCCAAAATAGACTTTAAGCGGGTATAATTAACTAGAAGGAGGTTATCGGATTGGTGGCTAAAGTCAAGGCACGAGTGAAAATAAACCATTCACTGCAAAGTACCAGTCCTCTGCTTCACTATATAAAGGGAAAACAGACAAATCTAGTTGTTGGTTCAGTAAGTAATTCGGCTAGGTAGCGTTAGCTGCCGCCCGATCTAAAGGGTACAGCCACATTATTCCATCCATCCATCCATCTATGCTTGACGCAAGTGCTACAGATTCCGCGTGGGCATTGTGCATTTGGTGTTCGTGGCGCACGTTGTAGGATTTAAGAAGACCTTGACCAATATGTTTGCGGTTGTACGTTTCATCGACGACCATGACAAGAGGTTACAGGTGATTCATGTAGAAGACATTGACAGTTTTGAGCCTCGAGACACGAGTGACTACGACAACCGGTCAGTGTATACCGCCTACTGGCAGGACCCTGTCGAGGACAGCAACAGTGGGCTCTACAAAACGCAACTTTTGATGCTAGCAGGTATGTGTCAATGGTGTGTAAAATGTTACATTAGCGATTTCATATTCGTAATTTCTTACAGAGAGCGGAAGCGACGCCCGCGACAAAATGCAGGCCAAGAGGGTGGTTATCCCCGAATTGCCTTTACAAGGAACGTCAGATGATGATCATGACGATCAAGAATCTCATGCAAAAAAATGGCCAAAAAAAGGTTATTTCTTTGCGGCCAACTTTATGAAACGTAGTCCTTAGAACTTGCTCGCATCAAATCAATACTCATTCTGTGTGATTTCTTGCTCTTAGAGACACAAAAACGACCAAACTAATTAAAAAAACGTATACAAGAAAATTCTCAAAAGAAATCTCGATGATGCGCACCAAAAAGTGCAGTATGGGCAGAGACCTAGAGCTCAGGTAAATATGCCGTTGTCTTGTATAGTGCAATGGACTGTAAAAGGACTGTTACTGAAAGCAAAACCTTCACATACTTCCTTGAACATATCATGAACTTTCAGCCAAGGAAAAGGACAAGGAGTTCGACTGACAGTGGGTCATCAGAATGTGATGACTTGTGCTCCAAGTAAAAACTTCTTGACATCAAAAAGAAGAGAGAAGCGTGGAAGGCAAGAACAAAGGTGCTGGCAAAGAAAGAGGTCGAAAAAGACCGAGACATGTGGAGACAGCGTGCTGAAAAGCTGGAGGAGCACAAGAAATTTCTGAAGCAGCAGGTTGCTAGTCTGCAAAGATGTCTTGAGAGCAAATTTTTTGAGCGTAAGATTGCTTTTTGGTCGGCAATAATTACTTTGCCCAAGCTGCATGCACAGTGATTGAACTTGAAAGCTTATGTGTTTATGTAAATCTTTATGTACACGCAGTTGCAGTCCAACAAGACCGGCCAGCATCTAAAAACTTGTTGCCAGGTTAGTTTCCAATGAGAACTGCATGCAATGATGCTCTCAGTTACATATTGTGTCACGAGAACAATGATATTACAGACTTTGTCCTGCTTTATGAAGTCAGCTTTTCATTTAATTATTTATTTGACTAAGCAACTTTCTCAACAGTATGTGCAGAACAAATGTAAGAAATTTGGCTGCATTTGGTCGACTAGCTGAACCAGTTCAAGGAATGCTGCCCATTTAAATTTGTTTTACAAATGTGCACCCACTGAACACAACCTGAATTAACTCTCAGGGGCAAGCTCAGCTCTATTGCATCAAGATTGCAGCTTTTTTGGTAGGTAATGGAGAAAATACTAGTGCTGTCCTACTGAAATGATGTCAGTTCTTCGAAAGTGAAGGTTGGTAGCTGCTGGTATAGAACTGTAAGACAGAGTAGTGAAGCCACAAAGCTTCGAAGTGGAAAAAAAATTTCTCTTAGTCTGGTTTATCACTATATTTCATATGATTTTCAATTTGAAAGTTTTAAGTTAACCCGAGTAACAGGTCAGCACCTCACTGTAGCTTTAGTAAGCAGCCAGTGCTATATGGTGTTCCGTGATTAGCACTGTACACTTGAACTTTATTGGGCTGTACAACAAGAATGGGCTGTACAACATGAGCCTCCAAATTTAACAGGCTTGAGTTTTCGACATCTCAATATAGTGCAAACTGTCTCCCCTGAATCCTTTTTATTACAGCACTTCCTATGTCGGAGGACACAAAAAGCATGGTCGAAGGTAAGTGCTTCGCTTCTTCTATGATATATTTGCCTGTATTTTAAAACTGAAGGGACAGTTACTGTAAGCATATCTTTGTAACTTTATATCCATTGAATATGAACAAAACTGCCTACAGTAAACATGTTCCCTGTAAGTAACAGTTCTGTTTTTATTATAGACACTACAGTTCATGTCTTTTAAAGTAATGCAGGCACGAAGATCACTCTTTCTTAATATTCCTGATTGTGGTGTAGCACCATGTCTATCTGCTGCTCAACCACAGAAAGAAACTATAGTAGAAGAGAGGCCTAGAAACATTACACATTTAGGTAAGTAGCTGGGTCAAATATGACCTCAAACATTCTGAATTTAATTTTATTTTGTTCCATGATGAAGACATTATATCTCTTGCAGGTCAATTTCATTAGAAATTTCATTTATATGGGAGATGGTTGAGTAAGTAATGAGACAAAAAGTACAATGTCACTGTTTATTCAGCTGCTTTTAATGCTTAAACTTTGTTTCTGGTGCTACATAGCTCCTCTATATCTTAGGTGGTGTAGCTAACTACAGAAGCTTTCCTATAGGGGGTATGCACTGAGCCTCGATCCGCAAGAGGGCAACACCATCACCGCGCCATTTTGAAGGTCTATTCGTACGCGCAGTCCTTCTGTCCACGTTTCGACGTGCAGGAAGTGTTCCGGAGGTATCTAAGCATAGAAGTTTTTGTGCAGATTTCGAACACAGCACGAGCGGCGAGCACGCGAACCATCAAAACGTCGATCTCGACGCAAGCGATCCTTACGGATGGCATCAAGTGCATACCCTCTATAGCCTGTTGTTGCTTGAAGTATAATGTGTATTTTTGCATTTTTCAACCGCAAGAAATTTTTCTAGCACACTCATGTCTGCAGTTTTAATCTTTGTACCTTTTAAGGAAAGTATAGGCACCAGTGTGACCAACCACAGTTTTCATTGTTTATTATCTCACAATAGCAAGAATACAGTTCTGATCACACCTGCCTTGAGCACCTGAGCAGTGCTGTGGGGAGAAAATACGGTAAATTTCTAAAGCAGATACCCCCCTTTGCTGATAATGCTTGTGTTCTTGTGCAGAGTGAATATACTATATGAAATGAACACGCACAAGTGCATTGCCTCTAACAGAGCAACTACGATAACGCTTCATTTGATTTGCAGCACACCACTCATACACTGTAGACAAGTGTGATGAACTGTACATAATATTAATTTGCGACATCCTAGTGAAGTGCCAGGTGCATTGGCTAAACAATGTTAGTTTAGATGTACGCTTACAACAAGTACCATACGGCATTTTGTTTCAATATTGCTTACAGTACAGTTATTTCCTGCTCTTAGATTCATAGCCATAAATACATTTTAAAGAAAGCTGTGACTGCATGCTGTGTATTGCTTATGTATTGAGCTTGTTGCTCTCTTTTCTTGTAACCTCTAGGCAGCTGAAATTAATGTTGCTTCATTATTTTTCTTTTTCACAGTTCCATTTGATAACGGCATCATAATAAGTGGCACGTGTGCAAAAAAATATTTGGCAAAAAAAACCAAGCTAGGTTGTAAAAGACACAGCACACGCCATATGGGGAAGCGATGTGCTTACTTCTCGGAGCGTCACCGCAACAGTTTGCTCTAAGAAGAGAACGTTGGGCGATCTGCCGAAGCAACCCCTGACCCCTGAAAAACTTCTTGTGGTATCAGGTACAACTAGCACAAATTGCTTTCCGCAGTACAATTGCCTATACCATTGGATAAAATAAGTCATCTTTACAAAGCCTGGCAGCATGAATGAAAATGAGATAGCAAAACTTATGCTACTTCTTTAGCAGGTCATCAATCTAGAGTTAGATGTATAGTGTGAAAACAGATAACCTTGCACTTAGTGCTGGAAATATGCAAATACGCATCTCTGAATTTGACTGAATATTAATGGGGTGCATTTTAGGCTGCTGGGCTTGACTGAAATATTCTGTTGTACATAAGACTGCAGTGCACCAGATCGTATTGCCATCAGTTGCAGTGGCTTTATGGCTGATACCAAACAGGGTTTTATACAGTTGGTGAAACGGACTAGTCATGCGCATTCCTCTCTGGTATGAGAATATTAGTGCTCAAAACCGAGCTCTAGCTGTATGGTGTAGCAATAGTCGTTGCCAAAATCACTGCTTTTGTTTTTAATGCTGAAAATCAACCTTTCTATTCGTAGAAACACTCAAGCAGTGGAGCCGAGAAAAAGAAATTGACACTGCGGGAGTGGCAAAAATTCTGACGAGAAGCCTGGCGGAAAAAATACAGGATCTCTTGAAGGCAAAGCTGCGCAAGCAGCTATTTGATGAATGCAAAAGCACCGAATAATATTGAACTGCAGTTGCAACAAATTTGTTGCTGCGAAGCAAAATAAATGTTGAAAGATATTGCCGCGAACCATGCATTGGGTTTGTTTATTTGTGTTTTGTTTTTTCGCCCTGGCTGCGCCGGCCTGCGCTATCGCCGTTTTCACAGCGTTTCGAACAAACGCTACCACTGCGTTTCGAACAAACGCTATCGAACAACGCTTCAGGCGTTGTTCGATAGTGCCGCGAACCATGCATGGAAACAACGCTTCAAGCGTTGTTTGTTAGAAACGCTGTTTGAACGAACAGCGTTTCTAACAAATGCAATCACGGCGTTCCCGATACAATTCGACTATTCGTGAAACCCTCGCGCCGAGGGATATAAATTCCCGCACAGCCGATGCCGCGTCATTTCGATCGCCGACGCTCACTAGCGTGCCCGTCGTTTTGCTGGCCGCTGCTTCGCCGCCTGTGTATTTTTTCAGTTGTTATGGGAGCACGAGTTCGCTCCAATGAACTTGTTTTTCCTCACAGACAACTGCGTCGTCCTTTGCTGCGTGACGTCTGGTGGAGGTGGGGGGTACATGAAGACATGAGACACAAGTCCGTCTCTTCTCATTGTGACTGACTACAAGCATTCAATTGTGCAGCCAGGCTTGACGAGCAATTGTGCTCGTTAAGTTGTGCTGGTTTTTTGTTTATTGTCCTAAACATTGTATGAATGTCGAAATAACATTTGATTTGAATTCTCGACTGCGGTCATGCTGCAATGCTAAAAAATACGTAAATCAAGACAGCAAACAACAGGCGAGTTGTTTTGATAAAATATAGCATGAATAATTGGCTCAGCGATCTCGCGGCTCCCAAACCTTACCACGTTCTAAATTTATTCCTGCAAGGAGTTGTTTACAATGAAAACTAGACGAAATAAATCGCTGGAAGGTTGCTGTGATGATGACCATTTTCATTTGTGAAACTGTGTGACATGACCACTTGCTAGCTTAGTGCTCTCAAAAAAGACTCAGAATGTAGTTGTTGTACCTTAGCCTCATTGTGCTGAAATTAAAATGTGACAGTGTGCTGCAAAACAGTGTGATCCAAAAAGATATCACATAACTACACTATGCGGTAATGCTGCATAAAAAGCGCAGTCAGCTTGAAAACATAGTGGGGCAAATTAAACTAAACTACGTACCCCTTCTCACAGAAAGCCGTCAGCCATGGCCCGTGCCAAGCAATGCACTGCCTGCAGGACGCCCTCCTGCGCCGCTACTGCCTTCTCCTGTGCTGCTGCCATACGCCGTGCTGCAGAAGCGATGAATCATCATGGTGGAAATGTTTAAGTGAGCTACCGCTAAACCCTTAACCATCTCGTGGCTGGAAGCTGCTGCTGCCCAAAATTGCAACGGGCACAACGATTTCCCCTCAGTTGAAGATCCACTGGCCTGATGGCATTCTTGGAGGCGGAAATGTTGTAGGCCCGTGTGCTCAGATTTGGGTGCACGTTAAAGAACCCCAGGTGGTCTAAATTTCCGGAGCCCTCCACTACGGCGTCTCTCATAATCATATAGTGGTTTTGGGACGTTAAACCCCACATATCAATCAATCAATGATGGCATTCTTGGAAAGTGTGAAGCTTCGTGCACAACCTATGCCCTCTTCGTGCGGACCAACAAACATTTGCCGGAATTACTCTTTCTTTATGTCCTCAGATGCATCTCTCGCCATCAAACAGCTCTTTTCAGGGCTAACCAATCTTTTGGCCAGCAGTTTATCATTGCAGATATCCAATACCGTGTCCTTAATACAATGCATGGTTATTATTTACAGCACAAGTTGGTATCAGTCATCATAATAGAGCATGGAAAACTTTTACGCCCCTTATGTATATGTAAACAAAGGGTCTACTCACCTTGACCTTTTTGTCGTCCTGCTCAAGGGTCCGGTCCTGTGCTCAATAAAGCAGTCAGTTATCAGATTTTTGCGTGTTACTGTGTCACTGACATCTGCAGCCGCTTCAGTAGCCTCCACCTCCATTTCCACCGCAGCAGTGGGAACATCCGCCTACTGTAAACTGTCGTAAGCATGATCTTTCAGAAAGTCGGTATTTGTTACGCTGGCTATTTTACAGCGTTACGTACTAAACATCTACGGCAATGTTCTGCAGTGGTCATTGATATTATGTATTATCATGTTAGTGCATGCACTTGCCCGCAGGCATTGCGTGTCTGTTATGATAAATAAATACCTCTTGTACTCTAAGGGCAGCAAACTGAGATTTTAGTTGATAAACCTACCTGCTTTTGAATTCTATTTCCTGCGCTCTTCCCGTCTAACAAGGTTCCGCTTAAGACGCTCCTTCCAATATCAAACTCTGTAATAGCACCGCTCAGGAACTCGTGATATTGCTGTGGTGGAGTGCTTACCTGTTGTTAAGTGAGACCAGAGACGCCACTGAAGCGTGTCATCCCAGTGAACTGTAGAACCCGGCAGCGAAAGCCAGCTAGCCAACCCCTATAGTGGCCCAGAAATATACACCAATATCAAAGAACAAATTGCCCGCGCCATTTGACGGTCACTCATGTTTGTGCGTCTGTGATGGCGGTGGCGTCACGGCGGGCCTCGTGCACCGGCTTGCGCCACCAAGCCTGCCACTCCCACGCAGGCCCTTCATGGTTCAGCGCGTCGC